CTTGACCTCTTTTTAAAGTATCCACTTGGGCCACCATTTTGGCTCAAGTGGACACTTCCCTTTTGTCTTGGAATCTGAAATTTCTCATTCCCCTCCTATCAAAGCCCTGTACACCCCCGCCTATGCTGGTGCCGCGGTTGCAGAGGCTAAGGCGAAGGCGAAGGCATCCATGGCGAAGTACCTGGCAAGCCTTGTGAAAAAGGAGGAAGAAGGTTGGACCGTCCTGGCGGCTGAGGTCCCTCAGGCACCGGACGAACGGTTCTTCTCCAGCGCCGACGAGCTGGAGCAAGCCCCACTCATCCCAGCCAAGCGTAAGGCCGAGGACGAGCTGATGGCGGACTCCCCCCCTGGGGTGGCGCAGGTGCCGAAGGCCCTGACACGCCCCCCAGGGGCGTTCCTGGAGCTTCTCGACCCTCCAGAGCCGGATGTTCCCATGGAGGAACTCCTGGCGGAAGACGAGGAGGAGCCCCCGATGGAGGAACCCCTGGCGGAAGATGAGGTGGACCCCCCGATGTCCGACACCAAGTGGCAGGGACGCCAGGACCTTATGGACAAGGCCAGGGCGCAGGTGTCCTCGGAGGGGGATGAGGACCCCGCAGCCCCCCCGCCAGGGGGAAGCGTCTTCACCAAGGCCCTCAAAGTCTCTGAGGGCCTTTACCAATTCAGTGCGGACCAGATGGCGGGCGACTTCCCGTGTTTTGATGGGACCACGGCCGCCAGGCTCCGACGACTGCAGGCCAAGGATGTCCAGCGGCTCTTGAGAGGCTTTGAGGGCCCCCAACTCAAGCAGGGGGGCCTGGAGCGCGTGGTGGAGGCGTTCTACATCGCCAAGATGAAGTATGAGCATGAGGCCCTGCTCAGCACCCCGGGACAGAAGGTTGGCAAGCGCGCTGGCCTGGGGTATGGGGGCCTTGAGAACCGCCCCCTGGGTAAGGAGCCCACATCCTGGATCTGCCCCTGCTGCACCATGCCCTGGGTGAAGAAGGGCGCCAGGAAGTGTATGGGGTGCGGCAAAAAGACGGAGCCCATCGACACGGCGTCCAACTTGGCCACCCTGGAAATGGCGGGCACGCACTGGCAGCTGACAGTGGATGACCAGGGCAATGCGGTCTGGACGGCCCGGTCCGCAGGTGCCGATGGCCCTGATACGGACCGGGCCCGCGACCTCAAGCTCAGCGCCTCGGTGGATGTCAGCGAGCTGGCCACCGACCCAATGGCATGCGAGAACCTGGACCAGGCCAGCTTCTCGGATTTTGTCCCCTCCTCGGTCCGGGCGGTGATCAGGAACTGCCCCATGGAGCTGGACGAGGATTTCCTGACGGCCCCAATGGGGGAAAGGCCCCCGTTGCCGGGCGACAAGGAAGAGGGCCAGGAGTGCAGGGCCTTCCACCCGTCGGCAGTGAAGGCCTTCAAAATCCAGACCCGGCTCAACGCCACCACCATCGCCCAGGAAGAGGCAAAGAAGGCAGACCAGGTGGCAGCGGTGGAGCGATCTGCGGCGGTCCTCCACGAGCTCCAAGGAGGGGCCATCGATGGAGGAGGCGATGGGGGACAACTCCTCAAGAATTTGGACTTGGACCTTTTCCGCGAGAAACTGCTGGATAAGCTGGGCGCGGACTGGGGGAGGCCCACACCGGAGCTCCTCCAGGCCCAGACCACTGCGGAAGAGGCGAAGGCAAAGCACCAGGCCAGACAAGCGAAGGGCGCCCTCGAGACCAGAATGCTCGAGCCCATCAAGCCTCCATTCAGTGCGTGGCCTAGCGAGATCCGAGTTGCCATTGAGACAGGGGTCTTTGAGCCGACCACGGCATGGAGGGATTTCAGCATGGACGACCTCACGTCCCTCACGGACTCCTACCTCGAAGCCAAGGCGGTCATCTCGCTGGGTAGGAACCCCTTTCCGGGGGCCCTCCTGGCAGATCTGCCGGATCTGGCGGGGATCCCCATTCCAAAGGCGGGGGGCTCTGGTGCGGCGCGCCCAGGTGCCGAGGGCCCTGACAGGCAGCCCACCATCCCCCCAGCTTCGGGCTCTGGTGCGACGAGCTCAGGTGCCGAGGGCCCTGACAAGCCGTCCGCCACCCCGGGGGGCCTGGACACCCAGGACCCGGAGGTGCAGCTCGCGGTCCTGCGCTGGATGATGAGCAAGCGTGTCGGAGAGGTCCGCATCTTTGCGGGCCGCTGGGTCCGACGACCGGGGCCCGTACACGTCCCGGACTGGGCCAACAACCTCACCAAGGTGAATCCGGAGGCGCTGGAAAAGGGTACGCATCCCAGGAACCACCAGGCGGGTGGACTCCCATGGGCCAGGTACTCCGTTGAGGAGCTGAACCAGCAGGCCAAGGCGGGGGACCGACCATACCCCGAGGACCTGCGATCCATCTTCTGGGCGGCCCCCCACGATCCGGAGGAGGACTTCCACTGGACGCGCCAGATCTCGTCCTGGACACTCCCAGGCTTGCTGGGGATGTTTGGTCACAGCTTCACTCTGCGCCAGCTCTGGGGAGTCTGGGAGTCTCTGCCATTGCTTCAGGGCCCTAGGCAGCGGGGCCCGAAGAACAAGGCCCAGAATCAGATCCGCCTGGAAGGCTGGGAGACCCTGAAGGAAGATGCTCGGTGCTTCCTGAAGGAGGAGGGCCTTCCGCTTCCGCAGACAGGACCGGAGTGGCGCCTGGTCTACCGGGCCATGGGCAAGGTCCTTGCGGCCCGGGCCTTCCTCACGGACACCCCGGCGGAGGTAATGCAGCTCCCGGTCCAGGACGTGGCGGACTCCAAGGAACAGATGATCCTCCGGGCGGTATGTGATGAGCGCATATCGGTCCCGGTGGAGAGTCTCCAGCAGTTCCCAGAGGTGTACCAGGCCCTCATGGACCGCATTGGAGGCCCGGGGGCCCTGGCGGAGGTGAAAGTCAACTGGCGCTGCAACACGAAGCAGTGGTGGGTCGGCGCAGTCCCCGACTCAGTGGCCCCCTCCATCTACCGCAAGCTTGGCTACACCAACGACATGATCAAGCTGATGGGCCTGGACCCCTCCGCCCCCGGGTGCCGGACAGGTGCCGATGGCCCTGACATCCGCCCCAGGGGAGGAGAGGGCGATGAGGGGATTGTCTACCCCCCCATCACATCGGACAACGTCCACGGCGTGGTGGGCAAGGAGTACAAGAAGAAGAACTTCTCGGCAGAGACGAAGCACGTCTTCTGGGCGCACATGGAGTGCGGCCTGGTTCTGAGCTCAGTCACCCCATGGGAGCTCATCCCCAAGACGAAGGGGGAAACCCGGGGGGGCTATATGTGCAAGTACTGCAAGGGGTACTGGCGCGCCGGGGGAGGGGGCACTCGCCTCCTCCAGATCCGGGCCGGCAAGGCCATCCTTCAGCTGGTGCTGGACGAGCCGCCCGATGGACTGTACAACCGCTGGGTCAAGGAACGGCTGGAGTTCTACCGCCGGGTAGAGCCGTCTGCCCCGCTGCGGGATGTCTCCGTGGTGGA